AGTAAACACGACGATTCCACGCGCAGGTCGCGAGGATGAAGTCTGATCTATATAAATCGTATTTAAACTGTACTAACTGTAGGGAGCCACCTTAAGAAGGAAAAGAGGCCACTGATGACCAATTCCTACAAAAACATTCAAAAACTCATTAATAATTCATGAAAGAAAAATGATAAGCGTGTCGCATCTTTATATTGATTGAGATTTCCCTTGATTTACATAAACTTTAACTTCTTGACTTACACAACGTATTTCTTGAAAATTACTTCGCCAATGAACTTACTAGATCGATCGTTTTTGAAGCAATTTAAAACATTCGCAGTGCCTGTTTTATCAGACCTAAAGATACTCGGCTTCGCCTTGTATCTTTATATCTGATAAAGCACTCCTACTTGTGTTTTAAATAGTACATTCATGTTCTTTCCCCATCATTAACCAGAAACTAAGAACCTCTAACATTCTGTTATTCACCAGCCACGCCAAACCATAACAAGGCCATGTTTATAAAGGATTATGTTGCAGGAAACCGTATAGATTGTTTGGCATTAACCCTAACTTGGTTAAACTCGAACAGTGAGTCTGTGTATACAATAAATGAACTCTGTCCCCGAGGGTATGCATTTATGCATATTCCACGAGGTGAAGGTCATGGGAGTGGTGTTGGCTTATTGTATAAAAAGTATTATAAGACAGATCGAGAAACAAAATGTGGTACAGTATTCATCATTCGAGTATATGGAAACTTTAATTAATCACCTAGTACAGTTTTGAGGATTTGTGTAGTTTATCGACCCCCTCCAATTTGCCGACTTATTTGAACGATTGGCAATATCTAGTGGCAAACTTATATTGTTAGGAGATTTTAACTTTCATGTTGATGATCTTACAAACCCTCACACTGCAAAATTCCTTGATTTATTGGATTGTTATAATTTAATTATAGCAGCATATTACCTGGCCCAACTCATAAAGCAAATCACGGCCTTGGATCTAGTGATCACTAGGTCATGTGAGGATATGATCCACAGATGGTCATCCATGGACCCTCGATTATCTGATCACAAAGTTATCCACACAAAGTTTAATCCTGCGAAACCACGTCTACCAAGGCAAGAGAGAAAATATCGCAAACTTCGAAGTGTAGATCCGGTTGTTTCGAAATGATGTAATTAAAAGTGCACCATTCACCTCTCAAACGAGTAATGTGGTAGATTTATGTGATCAATATTATAATGTATCTCTTTAGTACAAGTTGTACAGTATAAAAATGTACTTTTATTGCCTTCAATATCAAAACCCTATTTCCTTACACGTGGTCTCTTTCTGATACCTAGATATATATTACATCACGTGACATGACGTGACTA